ATAAGTTTGAGAAACAAAGAGGCAGATGGCATGATCTTGGAGAAAATCCTTGTAAGTCAAAAAAGTGGTAGAAACCAGCAAAACAGAAGTAAGATAACAGACAAATCAGGAAAGTGCACCACTTACAGGTAAATGGGAATGGGGTTCTAAATGAAAGGACTGGTCAACCTTATTAAAATCTTCAGAAAGTTGGGTGAGAATATGCCTATGGAACAAGGTATTTTGGCAGTTCTGATGTCTGTTACCTACTATTTGGATTAGCTTGCTCGCTGAATTTCTACAAAACTCAAACACAAGCATACATTGGTAGTAGACAAGGCTCAGGGGTGGGAAATGATATCAAGGAAAAGAAATACGGCTTCCAATGATGTCGAACAGAGCAAAGAGGTACACATGAGGAATCTGTGAGAGTGACACAGTGCGTGAAAAATATGTGGCAGTACAAGCAGAAGGCCTCCACTGAGTCTCCTCCTTACCTTTGCCTTCTGAAAAATTTAACTTATCTCTGTCTCAGTTTATTAATGGTAAATATCAATAAATCACACAGATCTTCCTGTAAAAATTAAATATATTTAACTTGGGAGGGATTGAAAAGTATTAAATGTATTTTAAAATCTATTGTGCTAGTGTTCTATAATTTCAAAATTTTAGCTGCTTTGATTGGACATATTTGTCTGTGTTGTTATATTTTTCAGTATCCTCTTACACTTGTGTCTTAAAGTCTAAACTCTTCCTTTAGGCAGTGAGTCATACTGAAAAAGTGATGACCGTAAATGAATTGTTTCCATAATGGCTGGTTTCCAGAGGAAGTGTTTCTATAAGCACAGGTCAGCTGAGCATCTTAATGCAGGTGTACTAAACAAAGCATGCCATGGAAAATTCACAAAGAATCCCATTTGAACTGTGTGCAGGTAAGGAGAATATTCGAAAATTATTATCATCCTTTAGTCCCCAAAACCAGCTTTTCATGTCCTTCATCTAAATCAAAAAGGTAATGAAGGGGTCTGCCCCTTAGCTCTGTTCTTTAAGTGGCTGCTTCAACAAAGCAGTCAGGCTCAGGTCGTTGTGGTTCAGTCCCCACAACTCAAGCCAGCCAAACCTGCCCTGAAGGCATTCGGATCCAAAAAAAAAAAAAAAATCCTTCTGCCATTTTTCCCTAGATAGAACTGGGAGGCCAGAACTTCAAAAAGGTAAAGAATACTCATAGGTCTCCTTAAAAATAGCACTTATCACCAACCATCTCACTTTTCTTTATGATACTGTAGGACTTTCTCTTGCCTCAGCTGGCTTTAATGTCTTTATTGGAAACAATTTCAAGATTAAAATTGGAAGCTCAGTCATTAGTATTTCAATAGTCCTCAATCCCCAGTCCTAGAGAATATTTACTTCTTTGACATATACTCGGTAAATAAACATTAACTGACCAGTAGAATCTTTTCAGTTGTAAATGAATCAAAGAGAATATAATCAATCAAGTGAGGTTGGTAGTAAATGGAATAAACTTTCAGCATGAGTCAGTAACTTCCATTTATCTTAGGAGAAAGATTTGCATGGAAACTCTAGACTTGAAGACAGTGGTGTCAAACATTCCTGTCCTTTCTGCCTATACTGAGCAGAAATTTCAAATTATATCAATGGGAGTGCTTTTCCTATTTCAGAAGCTGAGTGAACATACCCATGATAAAGCTGCCTTGGCTTGTGATAGGAAGAGAAGAGTGTTAGCATTCTCTGGGTACCCATAAGGAAGAGTCACAGCTCTATATTTATGAAATTAGCATGAAAAATAAATGATGAAATAATAAGCAGCCACAATTTCTGCAGATTACTTTGGTTAGAGATTGGTGGCAGAATAGGGGGAGGCATATTTATATTGCACCTTTCTTATGAGGACTGGTCTTACCTAAGAATCAAGTTATGTTCAGGAGAAAACTATAAGTCATGCAACTTTCTGAGCTGCCTTTGTTCTTAGAAGTAAAACCCAAGTAAACGCCTTTAGGAGGGAAGCTGTCTGTAGCTTGGGTATGTAGGACAAGGATCACTGCTTCTCATGAGTTTGGTAGGGCCCCATGAGAAGTATACACAGATCAGGGAGCTAATGCGCCAAGTGACTTGGCCTCCCCCTGAGATAACGGAGAAAACTCCTCTCTTGTTCCCTGTGTAACCACCAAGGCATGATGTTTTTTTGAAGGTCATATGTTCTTCCTTTTCTGGATCTTATCCTCCACTTAAAATTCTCTGTAAACAGCCTCATTGTGATTGCATATAAAGTGCTGCAATTGTTGAACAGTCATTTCTCCCATCAGGAGAGGGGCTCATCTGACCTCAACTTTTTACATCTTGACTCATCTTCATTTCTTCATCCTCCATTGTCTCTCTTCTGGAATTTCGAGAGCTGTGCTGGCCAAGGCATACGCCATTGTTTTGAAAAGACCAATTTTGTTGGTGTGAGTGAATGAGAAATAGACTTCTCTGTACATTCACAGCAGTTCAAAGTTCAGTGCAGAAGGAGGAGGGTCTTGTTAGAAGAAGTCAAGAAAATAAAGACAAATATGTTTATAAATAATCTATAGTCAGGAAGAAACCATTCACCAACAGATACTAGCTGACACTGTATTGTTGTTGCTGTTGTCTAATTTTAGTTTAAGTTGTAGTTTCCACTGTACCTTCTCCCTGAGGCTTCAGATAAAGTCTGTCCTGTGCAGCATACTTGTACAGGTGGAACTTTGGAAGGACTAAGTAGTTGGGTGTGGAGAGTGAACTAGGTAAATAGGAGCAGACCAAGGACAGCCATTGTAAGGTATGATACGGGAAGGTCATCAAGGATTTAGAGGAAGTAAGACATGAGGGCAAGAGGTGACCATAGCTGATGGAAGCCTGAGAACTCTAAAGGTGTGGAGGAACAGGTGAAGGGAGTGCTAAGGGAGAACATGTTGGGTTTTCCACTGAACACGGGAGTATACTGAGGTGTTCAGTGCAGGAAGACACAGGAGCTGGTGCCTATGGAGACAGCTAGGTAGATCATGCACAGAGCATTAACTCTTCTTTACTGAGCACTGACTATATGGTCACATCAATGCCACGTTGTACTGAGTATTAATATTATTATACTCACTGTATAGTGAGGATGCTGAAGATAGAGACTGTGCTATTCAGTTAAAGTCTCAGAATAAATACAACAGGTAGCCAGGATTTAATTATATACTTTGTTATTGTTGTTGTTTTTGTTCTGGTCATTGTTATTGTTTTAATTCAAAGTCCTAGTTCTTACCCAGTATCTATATTTATTCTGGAATTATAGAAACTGGGTTAATAACACAGGTGTTTGCCTATTGACAAACCTTTATATTACTCATATTAACAAATTAATTTTTCAAATCCATAATGAGGTTATTTTTAAAAGCTGTTATCTGCATAACCATGAAGCAATTTGAAAAGGGTAAACCATACTATTCACATGGACAATATATCCAGAGCTGAATAGTGCCAAACTTTGAGGGAATTCTATTTTGAAAAAAATTAATTCCAGAATTTCAAAGAAGAAAAAAATGACTCATGTACAGGAATATCCTTTAAAAGCATCTTTTTATTTGCTATAAGAATATAATCTGCATCTCTATACAATCTTATGCAAAGACATGGTAGTAATTTTACAAGCAGTGCAGAATTTCAACATCTGTACATTTGCTCACCTAAAAGATTAACAAATGTTGAAAAATAACATCTTAGGAAAAAGAATACAAAGGAGCCAACTTTCTTCCTTAGAAACATGGCTTCTAACATCAAGAAGTACAATCAAGAGAGCACAGCTAGAGTGAAGTCTGAAGCTAAGGATGGAAGTATTGAGAGACAGATGAAAACACTAAGGAAGCCCCCTTGATGGGCCGCCAAATGGCTCTGCGTAGAGTTACCCTGATTTAGATGACCAGAAACTACTAACCTACAGAAGCACCTCCCTGCCAGATGCTAGAGAGGGAGATAAAAGCCACAGTGATTTCCTATTTTTGTAGCAAGTAAGTTTCCCTGAAACATCATCCTTAAGCACATATTAAGTGAACTTCTTAACATAATGGTCACTAAACTTGAGCTTGCTCAACAACGGGGACAACTGCAGTTTACTGGAAATAAACTATGGAGAAGGAAAGAAGGAAAAGATACCAAATTTTATGCAATAAAGTCCCAAAGATCATAACTATCCACGGTAGCTCCTTCTCTATGGGATTTCTCTGGGGTTTGTGCTGAATATGGGATGCTTTTAGCTACTTCTGTTGTATACCTATTATTTGCCAGGACATGCCATTAGACCAACAGCCTTCAACTAGATATGTAGCACAAAACACAGAACAAACAGGAAAGCTATCTCTGGCCTTGGTTTGTCTTGTATTTCTGTGATTTTTGTCCTAAAGTAAAAGCTCTGGAAAGGGACATAGTAAAGCTCAAAGAGCCATTATGAAGCTATAACCACTATGAAGTGAGTTATAGAGCCTTGTATTCTATCACCTGCTTTGTCAGCTACTGGTATGCTAAAGGGCTTCATAAGTGGTTTATTGGGTAGATCTTCTGCAAGAGCATATCTAGACTTACAAAGAAAACTTTAGAATTAAAACTAGAGTCATTGTTTTACACCCTCTTGCCCCAGGATCCCAAAACCAAAACAACATAGCCTGCAGTGAATTTCAAAGCTGAAGTCTTTAGAACATCAGTCACATGTTTTCAATCACATTGACTTCTAGCTTCTTCTTTTGTGATAGAAATAAAGAATTAGAACGAGGTTCAGGGAGATGGCTCAGTGGAATAAGCACTGCCTGGCAAGCGCAAGGGCCTGAGTTCAATCCCCAGTTCCACCAAAAAAAAAAAAAAAAAAAATTCTTGGGGCTGGGTAGATGGCTCAGTGGAATAAGCGCTTCCCTGGTAAGCACAAGGGCCTGAGTTCAATCCTCGGTTCAAAAAAAAAAAGAATTAGAACAACAACAAAAAAAAGAATTAGAACAAAACAAAGCCAAATGCACCTCCTGAAATCCTTGAAAATGCACTAAGGCTTTGGGCATCACAAGTGATTGGAAGTAAAAAAAAAAAAAGTCTTTCTTTTTTTAAACTGTGAATTATTTTGTAGAGTCTGAGCTCTGAAATATCCATGAACATAATCCATAGTTATCTTTTCCCTCTAAGATTATTACATTCAGAAGCACAATTTTTGTTTTGAGTGCATTTACATTTTAAGTATATTTAAAATTGGAAAAGATACTTTTAGAACTAAACTTCTTAATTATGATTATTAAACCAATGTTACTAGTAGGTAAGTCAACTCAGAGGTTTAAAAAATGCTAATGAGGAAAGTTTCGTTTTTCTTAAAGACTGTGTCATTTTAATTTTGCAGCATAGACTTAATAATCCATATGAAACCACTAGTTCTGTTTGTCACTAGAATCCAGATTAATGTCCAAATCCAGTGATTTATGGGTATATAAGAGAAAAAGGGTAATTATCACATACAGCCTTCATTTGGGGGTCAAACATGATAGTATCAGCCCCAAAGACCTCCACAGGACTGGGGGGGGGGTCTTGCTGTGGCTGTTCAGCGCTGATAGGCAGATACGTGGGCCTTCCTTCACTCTTTTTCTTCTTTCCTTTGACTTATTTTCTGTTCCAGTTATGTGAGATGTTCTGAATCTTTTTCATTTTGATCCTCTGGTCCAGCATCTTGTATCTTGCAGGATGTTCATCAGTTTTCTTTGGAACTGAAGGCGCGTAGGAGCTGGATGCATAAGCAGGGCGCTTAAAGTGACGCAAAGGAGGCTTGATGACTGGAAGCCAGAGAAAGAAAGACAGAGAATCATTAGCCTCACCAAAGACTCGCATAACCTACATGTTGTGGCCAACTTTTCTTGTCTTTTTTTTCCCCTCTAAGCCAGAAAACAAACAGGTTCAATGCTCACTGGGAAACTTACTGCATATGGATGAATAAACAAATAGTCAACTTGATCACTGACTAAAGACAAGAAATCCCTAGGGGTAGACATTGGTAACCTCAGTGCATAAACAGATTTTGATGGTGAACAGGAGTTCAGAAAGTGGCATCACTTTTGGGAACAACAAAGGAAACAAAGTGTTCAGAGCTGTGTCACTGACATTTAGCAGTGGAAGTAAGCTTTAATGACTGGAAGGTGGCAGTTCTAAAGTGCTGATTACAAAAGTACGGAGAAAATATTTGCAAAATACATGTAAAGGTCTTATATTCAAAGTATAAAAGTAATTCTTAAAATCGAATAAACAAAAATAATTTGGGACCAGCCAAATAGCTCAGCAGATTAAAGAGCTTGCTTAGGCAGATGCGGTGGCCTGGGTTCAATCCCTGGTGTGCAGTGCCAGCCCCACTCCTGGGGCGTGCTGAGATGGTGATTGAGACTGGGCATGGTGGTGCCCGCCTGTAATCCCAGCACTTGGAAGGCTGAACACAGGCAAATCACTACAAATCCGATCTATGATGTAGTGAGACTCTGTAAACCCTGTACTAAAATACAAAAAAAAATCAATTTAAAAATAGGTAAAAGATCTGAACAGACTTCTTACCAGAGAAGATACACACATAAAATAATGGCAGAGAAAGATGCTTAGCAATTTTTATTACTAAGAAGTTGCAAAGTAAAATGTTAATGACATTCTACTTTATACTCTCCCATGCAAAGTAAAATGACAGTGACAATGACAATTGTTAGCAACCATCCAGGGCAGTGATGTGAACCTGTTACAGATCTAGTGTACAAATTACAACCCTAAATGCACTTACTAAACAGTAATTAAACATAAATACTAGTAAGTGTTTGCCTGGCAAGCTCAAGGACCTGAGTTCAATCCCTGGTTCTGCCAACAAACAAACAAACGAACAACAAAGCAAAACAAAACAAAACACAAATACTGAGGTTTTAGCTTAGCAAAAACAACTGTTATCTGATGCTCAGCTGCTAGAGTGAGCTGGCTGTCCTGTGAGCAGAGGGGACCTCATGGCCCCTTGAGGCCTGCTGTCATAAGTTCACCGCCACTGATCTGGAG